GTTGTAATGTTTTTGTTGATGGAGGGTCTTGTCTGCAACTTGTCAAAAAAACAATATCTGTGAAGCACAATAAAGTGAGGCACGATAAAGGAGGTGTGCCTTTTAGGTTACCTGAATTAAGGGGTCATTGACTTACCATGGGAATCTGTTGGCTTTCACAGGATTTTCAATATTCAGGGTCATTTTGTGGAATGGAGCTTGACCTGCCTGTACTTTCAGTTTCCTTACTTGTGAAATAAGAATAATAGTACCCACTGGCTGGTTCTCCCTCAAAAACAGCTCTTTTCAACCAGTGTGCCGCAAGAATTTTTAAAACACGTAATACCTGGCTATTTAGTCAGGGCACTGGCCTCTTTTCCCTTAGATTGTCAAATAAAAAAATGGCAACAGCCATCACAACAATAGCTGTCCAGTGTGAATGAAACAAAGTCATACCAATTTTTTTGTCATATTGTCACAAAATATATATTTTAGTTGTGCTGCAGAATTTTAGTAAATAGTTTATGTGTACCGTGAGATGAAAAAAGTTGAAAATCGTTGGTCTAAAACATATTCCAAATCCATCGGTTTGTGTTCCGCCCCCTTGTAACCTCCCTGGCATAAGCCACTTGAGCTCTTGCCTGGGCACCTCCATTTTCGACTCCTGCCCCTCCACAGTCAGTTCTCTACACTGTGGCCAGAGTGATCTTACAACAGAACCACCTTCAGTGGCTTCTCATTGCACAGACCAGAATCCAGCCCCCTCCTCATGGCCTTTTGGGTCCTTGCTAACTACTCCAGGCTGATCCCAGCTCTGGTTGCATTCCTGAGTGTGTGGGTCCTGCCGCACGACTCTGCTGTCCACTGAACATGTGCCAGGCTTGCTTTTCACCCGAGGCCTTTGCCCTAGTTCTTGCCTGTGCCGCCAATGCTCTCTCCCTAGATCTTCCCGAGGCTGACTCTTTAATAGTCATTTCTCAGCTCTAGTGACATCTCCAGAGAGCCCTTTTTCACCCTCCCATGTAAAATAGGCCCTCATGCTAGCCCATCACCCCATTCTGTGGCTTCCTAATGTATTTACCCTGCCTGAAATGATTTTGACTTGCTAGTGAGCATCAGATCAGACATCGTTCAAATATTTGTATAGCATCTCCTGCCATCACTAGGATAGGAAATAAAATCAACCTCTTCTTGGAACTCATAGTCTTGTGGGGGCAACTGAGGGTTACAAAATGATGTATTCTGGGAAAAATTAGAGTGCACACAGGGTGCTGTGGCAGCTGGGATGGGAGTCCTTACCTCTGCCTTGCATGGTGAGCTGAGACCTCCACAGTGGACGGTACAGCTGCGTTGTCCTTGAAAGATGATTGTGCTATAATTTTGTCACTCATTCCTTAGGTATTCAGTGGGTATGAGCCACAGTGCCCAGTGACAGCGCGGTATCCATGGATGAGGGACAGCCCTGCTCTCCGGAAGCTCGCACTAGGTTGAGAGAGAAAAGGAATAAAGATGAGAGCCCCGTATTTACACAGCGTGAGAGGTACTTTGAGGAAAGTAAACATGTTGAAATAGGGAGGCCAACTTTGAGTAGCTAGGGAACCACTCTGGGGGTGGATGTGTCTTTTGGGCTGAAAGTGAACCAGCCTGGAAGAACTGGGGAAAGACTTACTGGTAGAGGCACGCTGCCAAGATCTGGAGGTGGGAACCGGTTCAGAGCAATGAGGACGCTGCTGTGGCTGGCACATGGCCAGAGGGACATGAGTTTCGAAAGAAAATCAGGAGCCTGATCATGCAGATCCTGGTAGGATAAAGGGAAGAGTTTGGGTATTATTTCAAGGGCCATGGAAAGCCATCAAAGGATTTTAATCAAGGGAGTAATGTGATCCAATTTACATTTTAAAAACTGGATGAACTGGAAGGGAAGTTGGGAAGCAGGAAATTAGGTAGAAGGCCATTAGGGTAGCCGGAGGAGGGGTCAGGAACTAGACAGCAGTAGTGGAATGAAGCAAAGTGGAAAATTTAGGTGTATTTTGGACACAGTATTGATAGTACCTGTGATAAGAGTACCTGGGTTTTAAGGAGGTGAAGGGTGAGTCCTAAGATTTTGGCTTGAGCACCGGGGTAAATTGTGATGCAATGTCCTGAGTGGGGAAATACTGGGAAGAGACTAGTGTCTGAGCCCAGGGGTGGAAATTGAGAGCCATGATTTGGTCATTAAATTGGAGTGATTAGGTTGGCACTTGGATATATGAATCTGGAGGTCCATTGAGAGGTCGAGGCTGGAGACAGGAATTTGGAAATAATGACGACGTAAATGCTGTTAAAGCCATGGGACTAGATATGATTAAGGAGACAGTGAAGTTGGAAGTTAAAAGGGACCTAGAACAAAGCCCTGGGACATTCTAGCACTTAGAGGTTGGGAGGGGGAGGATGAGACAGCAAAGGAGACAGAAAAATAACTAGGGAAGTATGGGGGGAGCCTCGGGATTTGTGAAGCTAGAAGCGGAGGAAAGGGAGGGTTTGCATAATGGTTACACTTGGCACCTCAGTTCACTCTCACAGCAACCCCTGAAGGGTATTTGAAAAACCAAGGTAAGCCCCGGAAGAAAAGCGAGTCCAGTGTTGCCAAGGGGTGATTACAGAGTTTATTGGATTGTGCTGTACCTCGCTCAGAGCCAACAATAGTATAGATAAAAGCCAGATTGGAGTCAGCTGAGCAGTGAACAGGAGGCAAGGTCAAGGAAACAGAAATTGTAGGTAACTTGTTGAACTTATATTGTACAAGGGAGCTAAGAAATGAGGGGACAGCTCAGTGGGAATGTGGCTTCAGGGAAATCTGTTTTTCAGGTGGGAGGAACCAGAGCCTGTTGTAAGCTTATGGAATGACCCAGGACTAAAGGGGGTGAGTGATGTAGGGGAGAGGGGAGGGATACTGAAGATGCGGCATCTGTGAAAAAGCAACTGGAGATGGGATCCAGGGCACAGTGGAGAGACCAGGAAACTTCTAATTAAACGGCACCAGAACCTTTAAAGAAGAGTCGAAGTGGCTTAAAAGGCTCTTTGATTGCAAGGAACAACATCCTCTTCCAAAAGGGGCACTTTTGAAGATATACAACAGGCAAGCTCTGGACATCCAAGGATAGGAAGTCAAGTGCAGCTGGCCTTGCTGAAAACCTAACTAGAAGATCACTAAGCAGAGAATCTTCCTTTGTCTCTTGTCCTGAGCCATGGCCATTTTCCTCCTTTTCTCTGAGTAGGCGTGTTCCCCTTTCTTTGTTTCTCTGCTTATCATGACTTTTCTCTTTGCTGTAACCTCTGCTTTTACATGGCATTTGCTTGCCATGGTGCTGTCTAGCTCCAGCCCCTTGTGACCTTCCATTTCAAGTCCCCATCATCATGTAGTTGACCCAGTCTCTCAGGGTGCCAGCATGGGTCAAAGTCCTGTCCATTCTTGGTCCTGTCTGCTCCGGCCAGTGGGAGGAGGATGGGAGTTATAGCGTACATGCCTGGGGCTGTCCCTTACAGTCCCTTTGAGTTAGAGAGCAATGACTGGCATGTTGACTACAAGTAGGAACTTTTAATTCAAAATTGGATCCAGATAATATGTTAGAATCCTTCATGATAAGTAGGTTGTATGAGCCCCAGCCCAAATACATCTGATACTGAGTAGTACATCCATTAAGCAGATGCACTTGGGCCTTGCCTACTGAATACAGACGTGTACTGGCCTGGGCCAGTTATGTACAAGATCACTTGGGTGGACTTGTGAAGCTCAGGAGAGTGAAAACACAAACCTTGCTATTCTAATGACATGGCTTTCAGTTTTACAAATATAACCTGATAGGTTTTCCTTTGTAGGTCACTTCCTTTTTTTCCCTGGCTGCCTTTGAGAATTTTTTCTTTGTCATTAATTTTTGACAGTTTTATACTATGTGCCTTGGAGAGGGCCTCTTTGGAGTAAGGTAACTAGGTGTTCTCTTTGCTTCTTGGATTCGAGGGTCTGGTTCTTTCCATAGGTTTGGGAAGTTCTCATCTACTATTTGTTTGACTAGGCATTCCTTCCCTTCTTCCTCTATTCTTCTTTTGGTGTGCCTATTCTTATATTGCTTTTTCTGATGGAGTCAGATAGCTCTGTTGAGCTCTTTCATTTTTAAAAAAAATTTTTTTTATTTTTTATGCTCAGGTCTGTCTCCTTCCTCTGCATCATTTCTAGATTCCTATCTTTGATATCACTAATTTTTTCTCCCATTTGGTTGGCTCTGTTTCCTGTGCTCAGTAGTTCACTCCTAATCTCCTTAATTGAATGCTTCATTTCCAGGATTTCTCTTTGGTTCTCTTTTCAAAATTTCAATCTCTTTGATACTGGTTTTGTTCATTAATTTGTTTTCTGAGTGTATTAAATTGCCTGACAGTATTTTCTTGCATCTCAGTGAGTATTTTGAGAACTGCTGTCTTGAGTTCTCTGTCTTTTATATCACATATTTTCATGTGTTCCAGCTTGCTTTCTGGAGATTTTTCATTTTCTTTCTGAGCTGCCTCACTACTATGGTTATTCATGGTATTTGCTGGTCTCCTCTGTCTAGGCATCTATGTACTACTGGCCCTTCTCCAGCAGCTTTCTATGAAGACGTCTTTACTGTTTTCCAGTAGATGTCACAGAATCACAAGATTTTTTTAGCTCTGTGAAATCCCACAACTGACCTCCATGACTGTCATCATTCAGTACAGCTGCACTGCTTGGGGGTGGGGGGTTTGTTTTGCTCTCTGGGTAATGGTGATCCTAGGATATTTTCATTTAGTACTTTAGAATTACTTAATTTAGAACTTAAAGATTTAACTTAAAACTATATTAACAATTTTAAGATAAATATATAGTTCCAATGAACAGTTAATCAGAAGAGTATATTACAAAGTAGCAATTTTTTCTCAATGTAACACTGATATATGCTAACTAGAAAATTTGGAAATAAAAGTATAAAGAAGTAGAGAAATCACCATAACCTCATCAAGAAGTATAAAATGACATATTAGTATTTTTCACATCATAACATTGTAAATATTTATATTATAGGAAATGAGATATGTGGAGCGAAGTTATGCATCAAAACCCACTTTGAATGTAAGTGTAAATTTAAATTATGCTTTAAAATGAAAGAATTTAAAAGAAATGTAGTTAATAACAATGTATATTTTTATGATTTGTGTATATGGGGAGTTAGCTCGGGATGATGCAATGGTTAGAAATAGCTAATTGTTGAAATACTAACTCCCAACTTACCATAAAAAATTTGTAATCTAGTGCCCTGCATAATTTCTGCTGCTTCCTCTTCACCTACTCTAAAACCACCATCCTTCTCTTGAAAACTGGGCAGTATTCTTCCCTTACTCTCAGGAACCCTCCTTATATTGTATGTGACACATAGCAGAGGCCACTTGAAAGATACTAGAAGAAAGGGACTGAACCAGACTGGGTATTAGACAGGAAGGACCATCACCTGATGGGTCCCTAAAATGACTTAGTAATAGCCTTCTACCAAAATCTGGGGAATAGTTCTCTTATTTATTTATGAATTTCAAATGGGAATGTGGAAGGCAAGTGTAAGAAGAGAATTGTTACAATAGTGTTTTATAATTACTTAAGAGTTTTTGTCTACTTTTTCTTAAATTTCATATTATCTTATTAATCATTTAAGAAATTATGCTCTGGCTTTGTCCCAGTTGTGGCGTGGCCCTATCTAGCCTAGCACACAGGCATTGATTTCTAGCTCAGAGTTCTCTTCAGTAAAGAAGCCCTTTGGTGAAGGTTGTTTATTGTGTGTGCAGTTAACAAGGATAAAGTTATCATTTCTTAAATTCTGACTGAGGAGTAGAATTGAAATTCAAGCTTCTGGTTTCAAACCTCCTATGGAGAACTGAAAAGGATCAATGTCTATTTTAGGGTAGGTTTGTCTTAGATTTTCTATTAGGTCTAAAATCATTAAGTAACAGCATTAAACGGATTAGTTTTACTTCTGTTCAAATATTGAGATTATTTCAGTCTTTGATGAGTCATTAGTCACTCATAAGAAGTCTGTTTCTTAGATAATAGAATCTATGAATTATGCGTATTTAATAAAAGATCACTTGGGTAAAATATTTAAATATAATTATAATTATCATCTTCTGTCTTACCAGGAAGTGGTCATAGCAAGTGCTACAAGAACACCCATTGGATCCTTTCTAGGCAGCCTTTCCTCTCTGCCAGCCCCTAAGCTGGGTTCCATTGCAATTCAGGGAGCCATTGAAAAGGCCGGTCAGTAGTTGCTTTGCTTTTTGTGTTAAAGGGGCAGTGATTCAATGGAACAAATATTTATTTTGCACATACTGTATATGTAACACTTAGAAAGGACTTATTGCCTGTATTTCTGATTTTCCTTGTAAAGAAGTCTTTGTACTGTAGAGTTAGGAATGAAACTCAAAAACTGACAAGAAAGAGAAACCATTCCTGCTATATAATGTCATGTACCTTACTAGGTAATCACTAATTATTAAAGTGAATAAAATATGGAAATGCCTTTTTGATTTTTTAAAAAAGGGATACCAAAAGAAGAAGTGAAAGAAGCGTACATGGGTAATGTTCTCCAAGGAGGTGAAGGACAAGCCCCTACGCGGCAAGCAGTGCTGGGTGCAGGTACTAGGAATACATTTTTGCTTTCACACTTAAAATGTTTGACATGGCAAATTGGAGGTCATTTCAGCTTAAATAAAATGTTAAATGTATAATATAACATTTCTAGACTTGTATTGGCAGAAGTAATGTTGCAGATTATAGTTTAATATATTTTATTTTATTAATTTTAGCTCTACAGTTGTGTTTGAAGAGTATACTTGTTTTTCAAAATATGACTTGTCTTTATTGGTTTTAGGCTTACCTATTTCTACTCCATGCACTACTATAAACAAAGTTTGTGCCTCAGGAATGAAAGCCATCATGATGGCCTCTCAGAATCTTATGTGTGGACATCAGGTAAGAAGCACCTTCTTTTATATTTTATAATTAGAATAATATGCAGTGCTAAAAGACACAAAAAATCTAAGCACATTCATGCTTTAGGCTCCTAAGTACAATGCTTTGTTGTTTGAGACACTCATGAACGTCTGATGTGCTAATTCCCTTTGAAATAGAGGTCAAAATGATAGCTAAGTGTCTTGTGTTAAAAAGCAGTTTTCAGCCAAGATATTTTAGTCTTTGAATGAACCTTAGAGTCTCTGAGATACTTGGTAATTTCAAACATCATAGGATTTGTATTTACCAGAGTAAGGGTTTTCATCATACATGAGAATAAGGCGCTGACCCTGGGAATCCAGTAGTTGACTGAGTCCAGAACTGATGACTGATTTGCAGTTCCCGTGTGCCCAGGTTCAGTTGTTAAATTGTGCAGGCTTTCAGTTGGCCTTGCTGATTTAGATCTTGTCTTTACCTGAGATCAAGCAGGCGGAAGCAGTATATGCTGTGGTGTTAGGAGACTAGACCTAGACCCATAGAAGTAAGACTTCATTAGATCTAAGCCCTTCATTTTCCAGTTGAGCAAAGTGAGATGACCAAAGACACAAAGTTAGAGGTTGGAATTAGAAAAAGGATGTCTCTGTCCCTCTCTAGTGCATCCCAGCCCATCGGGGCATAACACGCCAGGGTAAAAGTCAGTTGAGCTGTTTGCAAATTCTTTTTTACACATACCAGAACCACGATCATGGGTACCCTTGATGACACTCTTCCTCTGCTTTGTTTCCAATTGTAAGGCAAGCCAAAGAGAAAAAAAAGAGTGATATCTGAGCTAATGTATCACAGACTTTGCAAGTTATATGTGCACATGCTAAAAACTGATGGTAGAGAAAAGTATATAATGAAAAATAAGTCTTCTTTCTTCTCACCCCTCTCTGAGTCTCTGACTTATTTACCACTTGTGTATTCTGACATTTAAGAGCAGAAAACTTTGGGCAAGTTGCTTAAACTCTGTGCCCCACTTAATGTCTTGGAGAGCTTTCTGTATCAGCACGTAAGATAGTATTCTATTGAACTGAACAACTATAATGTATTTTACGGGTCATTATTGAATGAACATCTGGCCTGTCTCCAGGTCTTCACTATTTTATTTAATTTATTTATTTTAATATGTTTTTATTGATTTTAGAGAGAGAGGAAGGGAGAGGGAGAGAGAAACATCAGTATGACAGAAATATCGATCCGTGGCCTCCTGTACGTGCCCTGACGAGGTATCAAGCCGGCAGACTGGGTATGCACCCTGACTAGGAATTGTATCCACAGCCTTTTGGCGCACAGGACAGTGAGCCACAGCAGCCAAGGTAGCTCTTCACTATTTTAAATAAAGCTGCAGTGAGTATCCCTGTACATATATCTTTGTGTACTAATAAGTACTCAAATCACCTCCACTGAGGCTGTTCAGTGTAATGGTTAAGAACACAAAGTCTAGCCCTAGCTGGTTTGGCTCAGCGGTTAGAGCATCGGTCCGCGGACCGAAGGGTCCCAGGTTCGATTGTGGCCAAGGGCACGTACCTTGGTTGCAGGCTTGAAACCCCTGCCAGGGTTTGGGTGTGTGCAGGAGGCAGCCAATTGATGCATCTCTCTCACATCAATATTTCTCTCCCTTTCACTCCCTCTGAAAAAAACAATGGAAAAAATATCCTTGGGTAAGGATTTTAAAAAAAGAATTCAAAGTCTAGAGCCTGATTAATTTTTATTTTTTTATTTTCTTAAAATTTTCTTAATTTTATTTTTGTTTAAAATATTACAGATATCCCTTTTTCTCCCCAATGACCCGTTCCACCCTGTCCCNTCCACATATAAGCGAGATCATGTGATGTTTGTCTTTCTCTGCCTGGCTTATTTCGCTTAGCATAATACTCTCCAGGTCCATCCATACTGTCCTAAAGGGTATGAGATTCTTCTTCTTTACAGCTGTGTCGTATTCCATGGTGTAAATGTCCCACAGCTTTCTTATCCACTCATCTACTGATGGGCACTTGGGCTGTTTCCAGATCTTAGCTATTGTACATTGTGCTGCTGTGAACATAGGGGTGCATATATTCTTTCTGATAAGTGTTTCAGGATTCTTAGGTTACATTCCTAGGAGTGGGATCACTGGGTCAAAAGGCAGCTCCATTTTTAATCTTTTCAGGAACCTCCATACTGTTTTCCACAGTGGCTGCACCAGTCTGCATTCCCACCAGCAGTGCACTAGGGTTCCCCTTTCTCCACACCCTCGCCAGCACAAGTTGTTTGTTGATTTGTTGATGATGGACATTCCTACAGGTGTGAGGTGATACCTCATTGTGGTTTTAATTTGCATCTCTCTGATGATTAGCGATGTTGAGCATTTTCTCATGTGTCTCTTGGCCATCCGTATGTCTTCTTTGGAGAAATGTCTATTCAGGTCCTTTGCCCATTTCTTAATTGGGTGGTTTATCTTCCTCTTGCTGAGTAGTATGAGTTCTTTGTACATTTTGGAGATTAGCCCCTTATCAGATACACCCTTGGCAAATATGTTTTCCCAGACTGTGGGGTTCCTTTGTATTTTGAGGCTGTTTTCTTTTGCTGTGCAAAAGCTTTTTAGTTTGATGTAGTCCCATATGTTTATTTTTTCTTTTTTTTCTCTTGCCCTAGGAGATGTATCAGTGAAAATTCCACTATGTGGGACGTCTGTGACTTTACTGCCTATGTTTTTTTCCAGGATTTTTATGGTTTCATGACTTACATTTAAGTCTTTTATCCATTTTGAATTTATTCTTGTGTATGGAGTAAGTTGGTGGTCTAGTTTCATTTTTGTGCATGTATCTGTCCAACTTTCTCAGCACCACTTATTGAAGAGACTGTCTTTACTCCATTGGATGCTCTTGCCTCCTTTGTCCAATATTAACTGACCATAATGGCGTGGGGTCTATTTCTGGGGTCTCTGTTCTGTTCCATTGATCTACATGGAGCCTGATTAAGTCTTAATTCTACTTTTGTTTCACATTAGCTGAGCACTTACTATGTGACATTCACTGGAGATCGGTCAATAAAACACTGAAAAATCTTGTCATATGCAAGTTTTTTGGAAAAACTTCTAAGAGGGAAATTTTTGAATCAGAAGATTTTAAAATTTTGATATTTTCAAATGTTTTCCATAAAAGTTGAACCAGTTACTTTCCAAAGGATGTGAAAGTTTGTTTGCCTACGTATAAGATAACACCAACATTGAGTATTACCAAACCCTTGTGAAACCAGTGGGTAAAAAATGGTCATGAGATTGTTTAGATGTTACAAAACTTAAAATGACAGAATTTTGTCTCAGTTGTTGTGGTTCTCTACCAAATGCTATTGCACTACATTAAAATGCTTTCAGTTAGGATTATTTAATTCATTTGTGCATGTATATAATTATCTGACTTATAGGAATACTAGGAATTGCCTTATTTTGAATAATTATGAGCAATTTTATTTTATTTTGAATTACAGTTGACATTCAGTATTATTTTATATTCATTTCAGGTGTACAGCAGAATGGTTAGACATTTATGTAGTTTGCAAAGTGATCCCCCCTTTGATAAGTCTAGTACCCACTTGGCACCACACATAGTTATTACAGTATTATCGACTATATTCCCTATGCTGTACCTGATATCCCCGTGACTGTTCTGTAACTACCAGTTGGTACTTCTTAATCCCGTCACCTTTTTCTTCCAGCCCCCCAAACCTCTTCCCATCTGGCAATCATCAGTTTGTTCTCTGCATCGGAGTCTGTTTTGTTTGTTCATTTACTTTGTTCTTTAGATTCCACGTATAAAAGAAATCATATGGTATTCTTCTTTGACTTATTTCACTTAGCATAGTACCCTCTAGGTTCATCTGTGTTGTCACAAACGGTAAGATTTCTTTCTTCTGGCCCAGCAATATTCCATTGTATATATGTACTACATCTTTATGATCAATTTTATTTCATGTTGAAGAATGACTGATACTTTATTTTGTCACTTACTGCTATCATTCCCAGAAAATATTCACCATTTCCGCACAACTCAATAAAATATACATGAGAACTACTGAAAAATCTCCATATTTCAAAATAGGTAGAGTATTTGTTTTTTTGGTCTAGAACTTGTTTCTCCTCATTCCTGATTAAAGGCTGTGAGAAAATAATGTTCGCTTTAATTAGCCCTTTAATGTAAATGAATTTCTTTTGTTGATTTGTAATAATATGTTAATTAATGTTTATAAAACTTCTATTATATATGCCAGGCCCCCAAAACATGAAAATAGATATGACAGGGTTTCTAGATCAGGAGTTTAGTGAGAAGATTCGCCATATAGCTATAGCCGCAGTACAGTATAATAGTGCTAATAAAAGCATTACACGGTAGATGGAAAACACAAAAGGAAGGGGAACTGTGCTAAGAAGGGATAGAAATACATGATCAAGCAAAGCATGATGGGGCTATTTTGATTAGTTTTAAAGGAAAATAGTTGTTTTTACATGTTTGTGGATGGGTCAGAAGTGCAGAGGTGTTTGGAATGAGTGTGGCGCCTGTGATCTGAGGGGAGGGTCCGGGCATGAGATTGGAGAGGGAGAGAAGTCAGGTCATCCAGGGCCGTGGCAGTATGCCTTGCTGGAGTCCCTCTCAGGAGCGGATCAGACATCCATTCTAGCCAACACACTCAGGTGAGTGCGGAGGACACCTGGGTGGGAGGAGGGGCTGCATGTCATTATCGAGCAGATCATCTGTCTGTTGATGAGCATCTCGATTGAAGAAATTGTAGGATTATTTCTTGAAACTGGGATTATTTCTAATCTTTTAGAAGACATTACATTTTTAGCAGTGTAAAATGAAGGGTTGGAAAATAGGAATTTCAGAAGATGGTCTTACATGAACAATTCCTGGTATTCTTAGTAATGTCTGGCTCTTTTTTTTTTAAATCCTCACCCAAGGGTACCTCTTCCACTGCTTTTCAGAGAGAGTGGAAGGGGGCGA